TGGGAGGTTTGCAGAGTGCAAAAACATTTTTCCCCCTTTTGGAAAGCTCTTTAACTGATGAGAATTAGATTGATCAAGTGCTGTGCCAACAGAAACAAAGTCTTAGGTGCTGCAGATTGTTAGCGATTTCCTTCTCCAGCACATGGATAAATACACCTGGAAACATCTACCTACCTACCTACCTACCTACCTACCTGCCTACTCACTCTCTCCCTACCCACCTATTGCATTTCTCTGTCTCTCCCTCCATCTACCTACCTACTATGTCTCTCTCCCAGCCTATCTAATGTATTTCCCCCCCATCTACTTACATACCTACCTACCTGCCTGCCTACCTACCTACTCATTCTCTCTCCCTACCTATTTACTGTATTTCTCTATCCCTCTACCTACCCCCTCTCTCTCCCTGCCCATCTACTGTATTTCTCTCTCTCTCTCCCCCTCTATCTACCTACATACCTACCTACTCTCTCTCTCTCCCTACCTCTCTTTCTCTATCCCTTTACCTACCTACCTAGACTCTCTCTCCCTACCTACTGTATCTCTCTCTTTCTCTTTCTCCTTTTATCTACCTACCTAACTACTCCCTCTCTCTCTCCCCCTCTATCTACCTACATACCTACCTACTCTCTCTCTTCCTACCTCTCTATCTCTATCCCTTTACCTACCTACCTTGACTCTCTCTCCCTACCTACTGTATTTCTCTCTCTCTTTCTCTCTCTCTATCCTTTTATCTACCTACCTAACTACTCCCTCTCTCTCTCCCCCTACCTACTGTATTTCTCTCTCTTTCTCTCCCTCTCTATCCCTCTATCTATCTACCTACTTTTTTAAAAAATTGCCTCTTTAAAACCTTGGTGCGTCTTATACTCTGGTGAGTCTTATATTCTGAAAAATACGGTACTTCCTTCCAATCTGTGGAATGCATTTAAGGTACCCATCAGTGTGTGCTTTGGGCAGCCGTACGAAAAAAGTTAGCCATCACTGGTTTATGCCAAAAGATAACATCCGTTAATTTATATTATACAGCATAACAAAATTGTATACATTTAATACAACAATGCAGAAATATTTAATAATGTGACTGTTAACTAAAATTACAAATTAAATATATTTTAAGTGCTGTAAAGTCATAGATTAGAAACTCAATTAGTTGAGATAGTTTAAATAAACAAGCAGAAATGTTAAATACTCCACCTAAGAATGTGTCTATTTATAGAAGGTGAAAGATTATCCATTCCATAATTAAAAGAACTAGAATACTCTGGATGTTCACTGTGGTTGTAGTTTTATCATGAAGATGAAAATCTATCCATTTTCTGTAGCTAATTGTACGTGTATAGAGTCCTGGATAATAATCTTGATTATAGCCACTGGCAAAACTGGTGATGCCTATCAGATAGTACTTGGATACACTTGGGAAATAGCACATCAAAGGTCCACCATTATCTTCCTAGAATATGAAAACATGGAAAAAGTAAAATATTTATGTTATTCTGAAGTTCTGAACTACTATATAGGAATCTTCTGCTTGGTTCAGATAGTTTTATTATACAGGCCTTCAGCTAACAAAAAATAGATTTTAAAAAATGCAATTATTTATTCAATTTCAAAATATCAACACAATTTTGTTGGCGTATTACACATTTAGCATAGGCTACAAAACTTTTGAAAACCATGTTAAAAACAATATAGGGGCCGTAAAAAGGTGCTTAAGAAAAAAATATGTACAGAAAAATTGAAAATCCTACAAACACACACACTTAAATAATCATAAAAAAGTA